TCTCGTTCTTTCAAACTTATTAATTGTATGATTATAACGAAAATGAACTTAATATAAATTATTAAATTAAATTACTTGAAAGTATAATCAATGTTGAATTTTAACAGGTTAATTTTTTTAAACAAAACTTTTATTTTTGTAAATATTAATCATAAATTTGCATAATTTAATGTTATTATTATTTCAGTGTATAATAAAGTTTTGAAAAACAATTTATTTATTAATGTTAAAATATTTAATAATTTATTTGACAGTTAGGCCAAGTATACGACACGACTCCTCTTTCATCACAAACTTTTTTACTTTTCCCGCCGGTGTTAACGGGAAACTGTCCACAAATAATATGTATTTGGGTACTTTGAAATAAGTGATCTAGCGTAATTTAAAAAAAATTAAAATTAAACAGTACTTCTCAAAATTCCCTTTGGTTAAAGTTAAAGACAAAATTTAGTAATTAGTATAAATAAAGTTATTTCTATTACAGTTTGTGTATATAATGTATAGTGAAGTAAACTCAAGTAGCAAAGTTATAAAATATAAATACGATTTTTTTATCAATAAGATTTTTAAAAATGATTTATGCAAATCTTATTACCTATTAATGTACTGAAACTAATTATTTAATAAAGGTAATTTACTTATAATGATAAATGTTTAAAATTTAAACAATATTTAAAAAATATCTGCTATTTCAATAAAACACACAAAGTTAACTTATTAATACAAATAGCAAAATTAATATAAATACAACTCACTCTCTGTTTGCAATACTCGCGCACATCATCGACGGTAAGCGGTTTAGCCGTCGGGTCTTTCAGTTGAATCCAAGCGCACACCTCTTCGCCCATCCGTTCATCGGGTATTCCGCACACCTATTAATACCGTAAACACGTATACAATTAAAACACATCTAAATCAATCTAGCTATAAACACAATACGTATGCGTCCAATATATCGAGGTGAGTGTGTAGCAACTCTTCCACTTCGCGGGGGTATATATTTTCGCCGCCCCTTATGATCATCTCTTTGGTTCGGCCGACAATTTTGATATAACCATGCTCATCCATTGTCGCTATATCGCTATAGTATAGAGATGTTACATTGTTTTATAAACTTTTGTTTAACATGATTTATTGCCAAGTTCACTTTACCCCGATTTATACCAACCAGCATGGTCGACTGCCTCTCGTGTAGCCTTTTCGTCTCGCCAGTAGCCAACCATCTGATTATGTCCGCGTGATAATAATTCACCTAGATTGTTTTTATAATAAATATAAATTGTCACTATTTTGAAAACTATTATATCATTCAATATTTTATTAATTAATACCGCTTTCTCCAACTTTAACTACGTTCCCAGTTTTTGGATCAACAATCTTGGTCTCCATGTGAAATAATGGTCGACCTATTAAACAGTAAACATTATTATTTAACATGCTAATTTATTTTAACTTGCTAATTTACCACAAGTTTCTAACCGGCGCTCAATTGAGTCAGACTGATCTGATACAGTGCCAAATGTGCCTAGATCAAATAAATATTTTCATAAATAATGTTACAAATGTTTATATTTTAAATTCAATTTAGATCTAACGAAGTAATATCATGTATCAAAATATTAAATGACATACCAGCCTCTGTAGCCCCATAGGCAACTCTCATATCAAAACATGAAGGTATTATTTTGCGCGCCCGATGGGCCACCTCAATGGGCATTGATGATCCGCCAGTGCCAATGCCTTTCAAACTATTCATCATGATTTTATTTGTTTTTAGATAGTCTAACATGTCAATGACCATGGTCGGTGTACCAAGCATGTAAGTGCATTCGTGTTTAATTATTGTGTCCACCATGTGTTTGATATTAAATTTAAAGTGTGGTATAACTGTAGATTCAAAAACCGTATAATAATAAATTATCAATTTTTATTTAAAAATAATCTAGGTAAATAACATTTGCATTTTATTTAACAGACCATTTTTAAATGGAAAAGCACACATGCCCAGATTGCCTAGTATGCCACCAAATGCGTGAAAAAAAGGCAATGGGTTACAAAATATTTTATCCTGATCGTCTATGTCCCACGATTTTGCGGCTAATAAAGCGTTATTGCCTATGATAAAATGTTTAATATTATCAATGTGTTATTTAAAAAAATCAGTACTATTTAATTATGAGCATGTACCTAAAGTATGATGCGATAAATAAGCACCTTTCGGTTTACCAGTTGTACCCTAATTAAATAAAATTTATTATTTGCATTTAGAATAATATAGCATGTTATGGCATCTAGTTAATCACATACAGAGGTAAATAAAATAACTCCAGGGTCGTCCGGTGTTACCGATTCCGTTACTGAGCCGGGAAGTTGTCCATCAGTGTTGCTAAAATCGGATAACAAACTACTGGTCACCCTATCCTTGTTATAATCATCCATTTGAGTACCGGTGCCGTCCATAAAAATTACATGATTTAATAATAACGGATCGTTATTGGCTTGCTAAAAAATTCACAAACATATATTTTTAACTACATTAATTTTATATTCAACAATCACATTAGATGTTCCATAATCTAACTGTAATTTTTAAAATAATTATAAAATTATAATTTTTGATATTTATTTACAGTTTTTGCCATAGTTAGGACATCACTTAAAACTTTGTGATAGTTGTTTATTATTAACTGTTTTGAATCTAATCCGGGCATAAACAAGGTCTTTATTTGTGCCCGCCGTAACACGTGATCCAATTCGTTGCATTGGTAGCCCGGATTAATTGTGCACATTATTATACCCAGCTTAGCGCACGCATATTGTATTTTAATCTAGTTCACAACAATAATTGTTAACTTATAACCCTGTTCACTTTGTTTTGACAAAGTTCAATTGTTGCATTTACCCAGTTATAAGAGTTGCAACTCCATATACCAATTATGTCGCCCTTTTTGATACCTTAATTCATAATTTTAACTGTAATATAAATATTATAATAAATAAAAATTGATCGTGGTAACTAACCAAACTCCAACAGGCCTTTTGCCAATTTATTCACATCATCGTTCAATTCTCCATAGGTTTTGCTTATGTTCTCGTATTCGCTAACAAACGCTGTTTTCTGTGAATCTGTTAATTATTTAATTAATTAAAATATATATATAATTTTGTTATTATTTAATACTGTTATTATTTGGTTTACCTTGAACAAGTCTTCTATTTAATAAATCACCTACTCTTATATATTCTAAAGGTTGTTCACTGCGACCATAGGCATACGCGTAGGGCAGAGTGACATGAGCGCTAATTTTTAAGGTTGGTTATTTAAGTTATTGTATGCAAATACAGTATATAATGTTTTATAAAACTTATATTTATTTATTTAATAAACAAATATGGTACATTATGGTAGTATTAATTGAAATTTTTTAATTTATGTATATAATAATATTTTTTAAGTGTATAATATTTACCTCAAGTTTTTAGATTTATAATTCTGACTAAATAGCTGAAAATATCTAGATGACAATTGCCGGTGATGATTTGAACGAGTAAATAATAATAAATGGCTCTTGGTCAATGCTTGAATGAACATTTTGGCAATAATATTTTGTTTTGCATTCAAAATTATAATATTACACTAATTTTGAATCAAAATAACTTAAACAGTTTATTTATTCACATTAATGAGATTCGTCTTATGCATGATTATACACAAAGTTTACATTTTATTTAGATAACATATTGTACTTATGACACCAAATGTACTTATTACCAGGACGCCACAAGGATACCATGATCATTATGAGTTATCACTAATTTCACGCACAAAATATTTTTATTTTAATATTTTTCAACAAAATTGACCATAATGGGTTAATTAACTTTTAAAAATTGAGTTTAATTGGTAATTAAGTAATAAAGTTTTAGACATGAATATGCTTTTATTATAATCATGTAGTTTGAAGAAAACTGTTTCCACAATATCAAAATGTTTTCTATTTAATCTAATCATTAAAATAAATAAATATTTAATCACTATGATCAGTATTTCTATAATGAAGTCAATAGACATTTATATCAACAACATTTATAAGTGTGATTGTTATAATACAATTTTAAAATAAATATCTTATTAATTGATATAAATAAAGTTATTATTTTAGCAGTTTCTTAAAAAAATATTTTAAAATATAATTATGAAATAATTTACAGGAAATATATGCTTTAAATATTTGACCTTGATAATAATATCTGGTTTGGTATTTTTAGTTTTTAAAACAAAACCTTGAATTTATTATACTCTTACATAATAATTAATTTAAGCAATACAATTTTAAAATAGTCAAATAAATAAAACATACTAATTTGTAATTGTAATTTTATTAATGGGCCATAGATTAGTATTGAATTAACACCTGTAATATTTAACATTATAACAAATTTATTTCAGCCTAAATAAATTAATTATTTAAACAGATGGTAACTATAACAAAAATTTAATAACAATCATAATACACATGCTATAATTAAATATTTATTCAAAAACAATTATAATAGATAAATTTATTTTCTAAAAATACTACTTAAAATACCACGTTTCTGTACAGGTTGAGTTGTTAACGGCACAGGTGCACCATTTATACCATGATCAGCAGCACAATTACTAATCGAACTAATGGACTGATAAGTAGCATGGTACTCTTTGGCAAAAAAGTCTCTAAAACATTTATACTTGGTTGGTTTCATCAGCATATTACTATCAACACGGTGAACATAATCATCTTGATCACTCATCACAACAATCTCGGTAAACCACTTATGAGAGTCTATGCGCGCAATGGACTGAACCGTGGCGTACGTCTGGAGCGGGAACCGTGTCCGATGTATGTAATTGCCGCCCGACTTGTTCCGCAATTCCCCGCAACAGTACAGCTGGCCGTCCGCTGTCAACAGGTATGTCATTAAGTTTGTGCAGCATATGCTGCGAATCTGATTCATCCGGGTAATCAGCTGGGGCGTGTGCAAATCACCATCCACATCGTGGCCGAGTTTATAGCTATTATTCTGACCCCAACTGAACGCAAACCCGTCGCTAGTGATGGCAAACGAGTGATTGTGATAGCAGTAAACGGCGAACACACTGTAGTCGTTGGGAAAATGTACCCTGGTCGGTGTACGCACGTAGGCTAGCCCAGCTTGTTCAACGCCCAACTGGCCTGTATTGTTGGCACCCCAGGCGTACACATGTCCCTCAGTAGTTAGGGCCAGGGCGTGTGAGTAGCCACAACTCACCTCGGTCAATTCCGTGCCAGCGAATGCGGCAATCATAGCCGGTTTTTGATAACTATTATCAGGGTCAGCCAGTTCTCGACATAACTGCCCTAGCGTATTGTCACCAAAACTGTACAACTCACCACGCGCGTTTTGAGCTAGTACAAATGTTACACCGTTGATAAATTGTTTAATACCCTGGTGACATAGTTCGGGTATTAATGTAGGACTGAGTACGTCATAAAAGTGACCTAGGCCTAGTGACCCCCAGTGGTTACAGCCCAGTCCGTACACCTGGTCATCGTTGGTGATGTATATAAGTGTACCGGTGTTGTCGATGGCCGATGTACCAGGGTTGATTTCTTTGAACACGTGAAATAACCGTATTGATTGTTTCATATTTTTTGGTATTTTATTACATATACGAAATTTGTGTAAATGTTCCGACATTATTTATTGAAACACGTATTAACTTAATTTTAATTTTAAAATAATTTTTATTAAGTATTTTTTAATTGTAAACACAAACAATAATTATATTTTGTTATGCTAAATTAAATAAACATGGTTTTGTTTTACTGTTATTAATGATTTCATATTTCACCTGAATTGTAGTTTACAATGAAATATAACTATAGTAACTAAAGGTGTTATCGTAAGTTATTGTTTGTATCCTATTACCAACTAGATAAAAACTTTATATAAATATTCAATAATTATTAAATATGTAAAATATTTACATAAAAAAATTATATTAAAATAATTTCGATTTAAGCTCTATTATAAAATTTATTTTAATATTTATAAATCAGCTTTAAGCTTTGTTGGTAATTTTTAATGATAATTAATAATAATTATTATTTATTATGTCAGATTATTAAGTTATTTTCGTATTTAACATGTCTATAGCGACACCTATTTATCTAAATTATAATATTGTTAAACCTTACAGAAAATAATTTTACAAAATTAAATAATTATAAATAACATATTAATCTAATACAAATTAAACTTATTATAAAAGTATAATTATTAATATGATTCAAACATTAGTAAAATCATAAAGTACATAAACACAAAAATTAGTTTACTTGAAGTTTACTTAATTAGTTTACCTTTACATAGATTTTCAAGAATCTGCACAATCCTATTCAAACTCTTCTCGGTCTGAATCCTATGCGAAACTGCAGCCAATCTTTTACTCAATTGTTTATCATCTAAAAGCCTATCAACGGTGGCCAACAAATCAGGGGAAGTGCAGGTGAACGGATCCATACGTACGCCAAACCCTTGTTCGTGAACGCGTTGAGCGTTATCATACTGGTCCCAAAACAGGGGCATCACCACCATTGGCTTACCATGGTACATGCATTCTGTTACCGTATTATTACCACCATGTGTGATTAATAAATCAACCATGCGCAGCACTTGTAGCTGGGGCACAGTACGAGCGCCCCACATATTATCTGGAAGTGTATATTGATCGTGGTAAATACCTTTGGACACAATAAACCTGTGCGGACTATTGGCCAGTATACCGACTAATCGGCGCATTAACTCAACATTTGCGCTGCCCATAGAACCCAGTGAGAAGTATATGAGTTTACCAGGTTTGCCCCTTAAACACTCGGGCACAGTAAACGGCTCCTGGCCCTCACTCTCTGTGCGCATACAGTAATCAAACCGGTGGTATGTGTTGGGCAATGGACGCACATCTGTGTAATCTAACTCTTTAGTAAACATGTAAACGTTGGCATAGGGCGAGGGTGACCACAATTGACCCTCAAGGGGTAGCTGTTCCGGTTGGCAACCCTCCTTCACCAACCAATCCCGATATGCTGGCCACACTTCGAGGCGAACCTCCTTTAGCCGTTGTCGCAGTACTTCCCACTCGTTTTTGTCGCTATTTATTGGCAAACCTTATACATAAAAAGTATAAAAGTTTTACCATAATTAATTAATAACATAGTTTTATTTTAAGTGAGTTTACCTAATAGAGAAGGCGGTAGTCGCCGATCCTCGTGGCCTAAGTCTAGTGACAACGGGTTACTACTGTAGCTAAAAACCCAGGGTATGCCCGAGAGCATAATGGACGGGAAGTTCATGACATGATCGGTGACAATCACGTCGGGCTTTACCCTCGTAATTATGGCTGCCAAGTAGGGGTCGTCACGTGCGCTTTGGGGTATCATGTCGGCAAATGTACCACGGAGATTTTTCGCAGTCGATTCAAATGGACTCAGTTGGATAAGAAGATCGCGTACGATATCCACGTTCCGCTCGGTTGAATCATCTGGGTTAGGGGTGGTGTTGGTGGTAGAGGTGTCCACGAGTTCCGGGTCGGACGGCCCCAACACCTCTACGCCAAAGTTGCCGTACGTGGTCAGTTTTTGTCGCCATTCCGGTTGTACGGCAAATACAACGTGGTGCCCTGCGCTTAATAGTACCTGGCCCATTCCAACGCAGCAATTTACCGGGCCCACAAAATTTAGTGGCATAAATAACACGGTTCGTTTTTTGTTCATGGTTAATGGTTTTTGTTTGATGTTTAATTAATTGAACATCTTACTATTTATAATGAAAAAGAGTTTTGTTTATTTTATAATGTATATTGCAATTAAATGTACAAAGCCGTCAGTCTATTTATCTAAATAAAACATAATGAATTTTATTTTATATATTCTAGTTTAAAATATTAATTTTTTCGTATTTCAGCATTTAATGTAGTATGTATAGTTGATGCATTCTGTATAAGTAAATCCTTGAAACTTTACTTTTGATTATTATAAATAATGTGTAACATTTGATAAGCGAGATGTAAAAATGATAAAAGTAAATATACAAGTGCATGGTAGCTGTAGAAACAATTAACGGTTACGTTTAGTTTAAATATTATATTTAAATGTATAATTTACTATAATATTAAATTTATAATTTGCTATGATATTAAATTTATAATTTGCTATGATATTAAATTTATAATTTGCTATGATATTAAATTTAAAAAACTATCAGTATAACTTCTACGATGTTTGTTTATAAAATAAAATAAATTTTAAAATAAAATAACTTTGTTAATTACATAATTTATATTTGCAAGCACAAATAATAATTATAAGTTGTATTTGTTTAATTAAATGTTTGTTTTACTCTCTATTTATAATGTCATATTAGTTAAATGCATAGTTTCACCTGAATTGTATTTCTTAATAAAATAACTAAATGTGTTATCATTAGCTAATGTTTGTATTCTATTAACAAATTACCAAATTAACAAAATTAATAGATATCAAAAATATATATAATTATTTATTCATTCTAAGTATGCATCAATTTTTATTTTGTCAGAATATATTTTAATTAATTACAATACAATAAAAATTTATGTAGTATTTGTTTATAGAAAATCAGTTTTAATTTTTGTTAAATAATTTTATTTTAGTCATTATTAATAATTTATAATGTTAGTTATTATTATAGACACATTATTTAATTCACACATTATTAAAACCAGCACGTAAATAAACAAAAAAATTGTTTACTTACACAGATTCTCAACAATCTGCACAATCCTATTCAAACTCTTCTCGGTCTGAATCCTATGTGAAACTGCAGCCAATTTGTCACTCAATTGTTTATCGCCCAAAAGCCTATCAACGGTGGCCAACAAGTCAGGGGCAGTGCATGTGAACGGATCCATACGTACGCCAAACCCTTGTTCGTGAACGCGCTGAGCGTTATCAAACTGATCCCAAAACAATGGCATTACCATCATCGGCTTACCATGGTACATGCACTCGGTCACCGTATTATTACCACCATGTGTGATCATCAAATCAACCATGCGCAACACCTGTAGCTGGGGCACAGTGCGTGCACCCCACATATTATCCGGCAGTGTATATTGATCATGGCAAATACCCTTAGACACAATATACCTGTGCGGACTATTGGCCAGTATGCCAACCAATCGGCGCATTAGTTCAACATTGGCGCTACCCATGGAGCCCAGCGAAAGGTATATAAGTTTACCAGGTTTACTTCTTAAACACTCGGGCACAGCAAACGGCTCCTGGCCTTCACTCTCGGTGCGCATGCAGTAATCAAACCGGTGGTATGTGTTGGGCAATGGACGCACATCTGTATAATCTAGCTCTTTAGTAAACATGTAAACGTTAGCGTAAGGCGAGGGTGACCAGAGATGACCCGCAAGGGGTAGTTGATCCGGTTGGCAACCCTCCTTCACCAACCAATCCCTATATGCTGGCCATCCCTCGAGGCGAATCTCTTTTAGCCGTTGCCGCAGTACTTCCCACTCATTTTTGTCGCTATTTATTGGCAAACCTTATGGATAAAAAACATAGTATAAATGTTTTACCATAATTAACTAACAATAAAGTTCTATTTTAAGTGAACTTACCCAATAAGGAGGGCGGTAGTCGGTGATCTTCGTGGCCCAAGTCTAGTGACAACGGGTTAGCGCTGTAGCTGAACACCCAGGGTATGCCCGAGGTTAAAATGGCCGGAAAGTTCATCGCGTGATCAATGATAATCACGTCGGGCTTTACATTGGCTATAGCGGCCGCAATGCAGGGGTCGTCGCGGGAACCGGATGGAACCATTCCGGCAAAAGTACTGCGAAAACTTTTTGCAATTTTATCAAACGTGTTCATTTGGCCTAGATAATCGCGCATGATATCCACGTTGCGCTCGGTTGAATCACCAGGCTTAGCGGTGGTGGTGGTCGTGGTAGAGGTGACCTCGGGTTTGGCGTCGCCAGGTCCCAACACCTCTACGCCAAAGTTGCCGTACGTGGTCAGTTTTTGTCGCCATTCCGGTTGTACGGCAAATACCACGTGGTGCCCGGCGCCCAATAGCACCTGGCCCATTCCTATGCAGCAGTTTACCGGGCCCACAAAGTTCATCGGCACAAATAGTATGGTTAGTTTTTTGTTCATGGTTAAACTATTTTGTTGTTTGATGTATAATTAATATAATTTATAATGAAAAGGAGTTTTGTTTAGTTCATATATTGCAATTAAGTGTAGCAATATTTTAATTATTATATGAAGGTCATTTTAAATATTAAGATTTATACTTGATGATACTTGATAGATGTAAAGTACTTTACTTAACTTGATAAATTTACAGCATATACACACAATATTAAATAAAACTCAGACCATGGTCCATACATAATATGTAAATGCGTTAAACTTGCTGTGTTATGTGTTACATTGATAGGAATTTTTCTATTATGAACAAACTATATTTATTTTTCTATAGAGGGCAGCTCAGGTCACCTTGTACATTTTAATTACTGTTAATGTAAGGTGTAACACACGTTAAAAAGTATTTTGAAAATTAACCCTGGGTTAATTTTGTAATCATTAAATCTACTTGTATGTGTGTTATCCATACATTTTTGTCACTGGTACTTTAGTCAGTTGTGAGTGTGAGCTAATGTACTATTACTGGCAGTGTTAGCGCCGGTAATCGCAACAACCGGTCCAATAATTTGATTATTAGTGCTCACAATATGTTTCCAATTGAATGCATTTGTGCCCAAACACTTATACCATCAATTTGCCCACATGCAATTATTCAATATTCATTTTAATATCAATTCATTTGTGTATACAGTTCATTCATGTAGATGCGCTAAGTATAAGCAAACAAATATGTAATATTTTTAATTATATTGCACTAAACTAGCATATGAATTTTAGGCCAATCCATTCTTACTCGATGTGTGATATTTTGGTTTAGAATTATTACTTTTTTATTATTAATTATGCAATTAGTAATTAAACAAAATAATAACGCTACTATATAATAAAGTGGCATATTTGTTAAAACGGTAAATTTCTTAGAATATAATTTTAAGTTAAACATGGTACAGGATAACAAACGTAAAATATTGTCCTTCATAGAAACATTAATTTTTTAACTACAAAACTAATATTAATAAAACAAGTTATTATCGGTTTAATTGATCTTAATATTTATTGAAAAATTCCATTATAGTTGTTTTTGAAATAATTGGCAATCATTAAATTTTTAAATGTTCTTCGAGTTTAACTAAATCACAGCTCAATTCCCACAGACTTTTGGCAGTCTTGTCGTCATTGGCTTCGGGTATCATATGATCCACACGACGACAGTTGCTATAAATATATAAATATAAAATTTAATTTAATTATAATTTATAAATAATTTTAACACTAATTACTCGTAATAATATCCGGTCTCATCAGCGATATCATCGTCGAGAGCGCAGTAGAGTGTGGTCTGAGAGCCCAGGAATGGTGTCATATAAAAGTTACGCGTAAACCAACTCTTATCGGTAGCCGTAGCGGCCGATGGGTCGACATGTCTTTGCAGGTCAGTGTCAATGGCGCCGGGGTTTAGGCTATAAGTGTTGATGTTTGAATGGCGGAGCCTTTTGGCCAATTCCCGGCTGAATAACACATTTGCCAGTTTGCTCTGTCCGTACGCGAAAAAGTTATGATATGTACCGTTTCGTAGGTTTATATTTTGTAGATTAATTTTGCCAAAATTGTGTGCAGTCGACGACACGTTCACTATACGACCCGCCGGTGCTTTCTTTAGCAATGGTATCAAATGTAGAGTGAATAGAAAATGACCTGTAATTTATAAATTAATTTGTAATTTTATTAAATTAATTATGATAATATTATTGTTTAATATTTAGTGATTGCATAGGATTAACACAACATGCAAAATTATAAACTTAAATTTAAATTGGGTTTTTATCGAATATTTATCTTATTATTCACAATGTTAAAAATTATTTAACATACCTAGATGATTAGTCCCAAACTGCATCTCAAACCCATCCTCCGTCTGCCACTCAGGACAGGCCATAACTCCGGCGTTATTGATAAGTATATCGACTTTTGTCTCCAAACCCGACAACTCTTCCACACATTTGCGGACGGATTTGAGTGAAGACAAGTCCAGCGAAAGTAGTTTTATATTTGCCTTTGGATTCAATGATTGAATGTCTTTTACGGCCGCTTTTCCTTTTTTCTGGTCCCGACACAAGATATACACCTTTTTGTTATAAACAATAAACATATAAAACATTGAATTTAAGCTTTATTTTTTAAAAATTTGTGCCATTATTATAAATACGCTATTATTTATCAAGTGTTATATAAAAATATATAAATAAATATTAATAATTAAATTTCCAATACCTTTGCATCTCTAAGTGTGAGCTGATATGCAGTCTCTTTTCCAATACCAGTGTTAGCGCCGGTCACCACAACTACCTGCCCATTAAGGTTTTTACTGCTAGTTACTTTATTACGCCAACCGATGAAATTTGTAGTAAATTCATAAAACAAAACACATATTAAACGCCAAATGTACTTTATTTTAAGATGATTTAACATTCCCATTGTTTAATGTATTATCTATTAATAATTATTTATTATATTAATTATATTTACTAATATTACACTTTATTGTATACAGTATTATATTCAAACACTTGTGAATTAAATTGTTGAGTGTTTGGGCAATAAATGCTATGAGATTTATATATAAATATACAGATAGAAACGTATTATGAATTTATCGCAGCAATTGTGTAAGTAAAACTTTAGACTAACTTGAGCTGTATTATAAATACTGTGTAACATTTGATAAGCAAGATAAGAGTGAATTATAATTAATATTTTTTCATAATGATCACCTACTTAGAAATTTTAGTAATGTAAACAATACACAAAACATGGTGTTTTACACTATTTGTGTTATTTAAATAAATTGCAATTTTTATAAATTGTTTTAATTAAAAGTTAAAATTGTTTAAAACATCAAAATAATTTACACAATTAATTCTAAAAATAAATTAAAAGCAAATAATTTACTATTAAATATTATTCTACAAATTTTAAACTTTACATACATACTTGCGTTAATTTTTATTAACCATATTTGTTTTTAGTTCTGTAACTTTAATTAAAACAGCATTTGACAAACAGACAAATTATAATAAAAATGGTAAAAACTAACTTGATGATCATGATGACCATGGTCATTGTATTGATTGCCATTCAGGGCAGTGATGCGGCGCCGACCATATGGGAAGAACTAGAAGACAGTTGGAATGATCTGAAAAGGGACGGAAAAAAGGCATTTAAAGACATTTTTCACCGAGGTTAGATTTATCAATGCTAAATAACATGAATTAGTGATTGATTAAATAAATTATATGTACCATATTAATTTGTTTTATTTATAGATCTTGATAAATTAAAGGATCCATTTGAAGAGTGAGTTTATTCAATATATATATTTTTTTAATCAATTAATTTAGAGAGAGAGAGAGAGAGAGAGTCATTTTAATATAATAAATAAATTAAATTAACAATTAAATAATTTATAACTATTAAAAAACTATTTCAACTAGATGGCGTCGAAAACGAAGTATAAGTTTGGAGCTAGCCAGATAATAAATCAGCTAAACCCTTTTAGAACCCAGTTCTGACCATCTCTGACCACCATGTTTTATAAATAAAATATTTATTTAATTTTTCCAATGTCTTATAATAAATTTTAAATTACAATAACTACCATATATGGAATTACATAAAAATTGTTAATTACAATAAATTTTATTACAAAAATTCACTAATTTTTATATAATTGTTATTTATCATAATTTATTATTATAAAATATTTTACACAAATAAATATTAAAAATATTTATAAATTACAAACAAATTATTTAATTTTCCCAGAATTACCACCTAATAGAAACTTGTAATAATTTATTATATATAAAACTACGATAAATTTTAATTAACTTTACAATTAAATGATTTTACAAAAAATTCAACCAGACTTAACATAATTAATTTTTTACAAACCATATTTGTTGTTAACTCCATAAATTTAATTAAAATCCCACTTAAACAACAAGCAGTCTATCATAGAAAATGGCAAAAAGTCACTTGGTGATCGTGATGATCGTGGCCATTGTCTTAGTGGCCATTCAGGTCAATGAGGCTGAGCCGGGAAGGTATATATGGGAGGAGTTGGAGGACAGTTGGAATGACTTGAAACGTGACGCTAAAAAGGCATTTAAGGACATTTTCCACCGAGGTAAGTTTTGTGTTATCATTAATAATTATATTATTTATGTTAATAAATGTGTATTATTCTATTTGTGGCCTGTTGCGATTTAATGTATAATTGTTTTTATGCAATTTAGATCTTGATAAAATAAGGGACCCATTTGGAGAGTAAGTATTATTGATAATGTTGTTGTAGTTTTTAATTAAATCTTAATTACAAATTAATTAATTTTTATTTGATAAATAATTTTTACTAGATGGCGTCGAAAGAGAAGCTTGGTGAACAACGGGCCAAAATTTGAGCTACCTTAACCCAGCAAATGAAATACAACTAAATGTTTCTGGCCATGGTCTTTTGAAATAATATTTTTCTAAAATTTTTGTAATATTAATTATTTTGTTGACTATGCATTAAATTTTTTATTAAATTTTTAGAAATATAAAGTTTTACATAGTTTTTTAAAATTTATTATGTTATATACAGTACTTGTATGAAATAATAATTTTTAACAGTAATCTATTTTAATTACTTTTATGAATCAACTCGTAATTAACTAGAATTGCAATTTTATTTACAATTAACCAGATGATATTAGTAATTCCCAGATAAAGTATATTTAAACATGTTTAAATAAAACAATAGTTAGGTTCAGTTTTTCAAAGTATAAGTTAGTACTTGTCAATGACATTCACCAAGGTTTATTTAATCATCAAATTGTAATTATTTTTATATAATTTAAATAATAATGAACTAAACGAAACTTATAATTATAAACTCATAGAAATATACAGCATCCTGTATCATGCTGATACCAACAAAGTATAATTAAAAATATATTTAAATAATTTATTTTAATTTATATAAAAATGAAAATATTCATCTATAAAACCTAGATCATTTTGCACACAGAATAAATTATTTCAATATTCTCCCTATTGTCATATACAGTTAAACCAGTTATTTAAATTATGAATAAATTAATTTTATTGATGGTGGTCATTTTTGCTACTAATGCATCATGCCATTATCGCTCATGGAATGAGTGCTGGAACAAATACACCCCGGTTGAGCGCCACTGGGTTATGACCATGTTTTGTAGTACGTATAAGAATTAGTAAAAAAATTAAATGCCTAGTATAGTTTATGTAAAGCTAACATGCTTCATAACGTTCATGCTTGATTAAATGTACAATTAATTTCTACCTAGGTGATTGCGCATACATCAAGGCTGACCTGGACAATTATAATCGGTGTGCCAACCAGCACTACCCTGATCATCACAAAAAGCTACCCTTATATCGGCAACACTATCGCAAAAACTCAAACACTGGCCATAAAGTGTGTTTCCAAGAGTTTCGCAATGGGATGACCAAGTTTACTGATGGATACGACAAGTTTGACTCGTGCTTTCGCCAACACGTCCACCGTGATCGTATTGAAAAGTGTGCTCGCTACGTTTACGAATGAATTGTATCATAGCAAAATGTTGTGATTTATTTTAAATTAAATTTTTAAAACTCTAATTCACGTAATAATTAATCACAAGCTAATATATTTTCCATTATTTTAAGCTTATTTATTTTTCAAGTTTACATGAACTCGATACAGTATATGTTTTATTACCCATATTAAATTTTTTCCAATATTGTATTTGCTATTGGATTTAATACTGTATTTACATTATCTTATTTTAATAGTTAATTAAATTTATCAATGAAACATTGTAAAGCTCTTATGTTATATGACATGAAACAATTTTTATTTGAATGTTAAATAAGTCGTAAAACGTAAACGGCAATGTCATGCATTTCAACACATTTAGATGGTATTTTTGATTTTGAACAGTGCGTTAAATATATCGTACTATTTATTTATCTAAAATAGTAAACTATATAAACGTGATCCAAATAATAAAATAGATCATTAAAATATTGTTAAAAATTAGTTTTACAACATAATCAAATAATGTCACATACCTCATTTTTATCATCATGGCTATTTTTGGCTATATTTGTGGCGGCCATCCATTGCCGACACGACTGGAACCACAACTGGAACACCGAGTACTCCGATGAGGAGCGTAAATACGCCAAGATCTTTTTCTGTAGTAAGTATAATTATGTTATTCATAAAATATAATTATTTTCTTTATAAATAAACGTAATTTAATTAAGTATAAAATTCTAATTTTGTTCATAGTCAAACATCTTTATAAAAATTTCAATATTTTAAAATTCTACAAAGATCAAATTTTATTTTGTAAACTAATGCATATATTTAAAAATACAATGTTATAATATAACAAATCACTGATTGTGTTACAATTTTTAAACCAGGTGATTGCGACTATATCAAAACCGATCTGGAAAAGTATAACGTGTGCGCGCACAGGGAATATGCTGAGCAACATAAACGTTTATTAAATCATCGGACACACTATCGCAATAACCGTAAACAAGGCCATAAAGACTGTTACAAGGAATTTCAAACCTCGATGAAATCAATGCAGGGCGGTTACGAGAAATTCAATAAATGTTTCCGGGACCATTTAAATAGGGACCACATTAAAAAGTGCGAGCACAATGAATATGAATAAAATTGATCATGCATTTTTATGAATTCACCATATGCCTATTTTAATAATAAGTCTGATTAATCATTTACTTTATACCAATTAATCGACTGTACCGGCACTCAACCGGCACCGTTTAATTTTGTATTTTTTTAGCATTTCTAACTAAAATTATCTCAAAAATTAGATTATTTTATTTAAATGTGTTGTTATTATAAATAGTTATATAAATACAGCGAAATTGCATGTTTTATATCTGTGAATGTGACAAATAACATGTCTGCACAGGCTCTATCGGCAATGTAACCACCGGTACTACCGGCACCACCGGCACTAACGGCACTTAGGCGGCACCGGCACCGGCACTAAGGGCCGTGATTTAAAACGGCACTGGTACGGCACCGGCACTTAAAAATTAGAATTTTTACGATCACTAATTGTTATACAGCTGAAACTCCTATTTGCCTAGTATAATTAAAGTGTAATAAATTGCAGTTTAATTTATTTTAATTTAGTCAGTTTAAAATAGCACGTGATGATATATAATTATCTATTTATTATAATGTATTTATTTAGCAAATATATACGTTATCGTGATTTCACTAAAAATAATATGCCTAACGAGTAAGAAACAATATGATAAACCATATGATTAAACAGTATAATTTTGTAGGATTATTTTAAATTCAGTTTAGGCTATTTATTATCAGGATTCATTATAAAGTGAATTGATATTTGAATAAACTTTGAAATAATAGCTAACATTTAAAAAATATTTTTCAATAATAATAGTAATACGGTGTTACATGTAAATATAAATGTAGCTAGTAAATTTCCAATAAATAATGCAATTAATTTAGAAATATAAATAGCAACTTATTGATATAACAATCATTTTGGTACAAATATTTAACATTATTTGCATTGGCAATCAATCTGAATCAACTAATGAATCCTGTTAAAAATATCAATTAACAAAAACAATAATTATTATATTCATTAAAAACCAAAATAAATTACTATAAATATTCTTTAAATAAAGCATTATATATTATTATAAAAAAACTTTAAAATAAAATAATGTCCCAGTTAGTATTTATTTCTATATTTGTAATCATGATGGTATACGTGGCCAACGTTTCGGCCAATTGGAGAAATCATTGGGATAACAATTACAGCTCACAGGAACGAAGATCGGCCAGGATTATGTTTTGCAGTTTAGTAGCTAGCTTGTTTATATAATATATTCAAATGATTTAAAATTAATATGTAATTATATGCTTAAATTTATTAAATATCAGAATATTTAATATATGTAATTAATACATGACCCGTTATAAATAATAAATTTTATCTAGGTGATTGCCAGCACATACAGCGTGACCTGGAGCGGTATAACGAGTGCGCTAACCGGCACTACCGCGACCATCACAAACAACTACTCGGCCACCGTAGTCACTACCGTAACCGTAATAATAATTATAACAGTCATGGTAACAGCAATCGGCACAATCATGGTAATAATAATCGGAACAATGGTCACCGAGATTGTTACAGGGAATTTCAAACCTCGATGTCAGCGTATGGGAACAGATATAGTAATAATTTTAAACACTTTGACCAATGTTTCCGGGATAATGTTAATCATGATCATATCAGACGCTGCGATGATATTGAATATGAGTAATGCAATTAATTATCTCGGTCAAGTGATCAATATGATATAATTATTGATATTCAGTATTGATTAGTGAATATTTGTATATTGTATTGTAATTACATTTGAATGTCAAATTACCAGTATATTTGTTTAATAAATACATATCGCAAGCATTTAATATTTGCTAACCATTTACATTTTATTTTATTTCAAAGTTATTAAATAATTACAAATAATTTTATGAAATAATGAGGGAATGAGGGAATGAGGGAATGAGAGAGAGAGAGAGAGAGAGAGAGAGA